ATTTTGAAAAGTAAAACTAAAACAAACATTAAACTGGATTCTCATTCACTCACCAAATATTTATTGAGAGCCTGCCATCTCACATGATAGACACTGGGCATAGGAGAGTGACTTTCACAAACACAATTCCTGCGCTCATGAAGTTTACATCTAACAAAGAAGGTTAACCATCAGACAAACAAATACGGTACTCTGACTTCAGGGAAATGTTCTAGTAGGCACAAACTGCTGAGTATCATGCATTGTTTTGTAAATAACTGTATCAGAAATGACAAAGATTGGGCTTACACTTTCCCTCCTATGTCGAAGGCAGACATTGCTTGTTGATTACGTCATGCTTTTCTGCTGAAGCTCAGCAGAACTTTTCAACATTACCAATCAATCTGAGGTGGTGCTTGAAATGAAACATATTTAGTATCCCAAGAAAGAGCTACGAATTATCATGTTGAGGGTAAACTAGATGACTCAAAAGATAACTGAAGCCTTCTGGTATGGCCAAGTAGTTCCTATTGGAGATAATAACTATAAACTCTGGACGAAATATAAGAACAATCAGTAGAAGGTACTGGAGAGAGAACAAAACCTGACAGAAACCAGAGGAGACTGAACCACTGACAAAGAGACAGACATGGGATGAGTTTCCTGATTTATAGCTTTTAGCTTAAGAACAGAGCCCTATCTATAAATATGCTGAGCAGAAGGGAAGCCCTCTAGCTCAATAGATAAACTCTACTCAGATCTCTGGCTGACCCTTGAACCTCATAGGCAAGAGGCAGATTTTTAAAAATCCCAGCTCTAGCTGAAAGAGCTGACCTGAACTTCTACATGGGGAGATAAGGTCTTGCAATTTGAGTTCAACCACTTTAAAGGCCTGCATAAAAAAAAAAAAAGTCAATACTCTTCAGAAGAGCAGAACAGAATCCAGAATTTCTGCAACATATCATTCATAACGACCAGGATACACTCCAAAATTATTCAACATACAACAAAACAGGAAAACATGACTCATTTTAAAGAGAAAAGATCATTGGCAGAGACCTACTCTGAGATGACCTAGATTGATGGAGTTAGTAGACAAGAACTTTAAGGAAGTTACTACAACTATGCTCAAGTATATGGAGGAAAATACGTTCGTAATAAATGAAAGTATCGAAAATCTTAGCAGATAGATAGAAACTATAAAAAAGGCACATGTGGTGATGAGCACTGGGTGTTACACGCGCTGATAAATCGTTGAACACTACATCAAAAGCTACTGATGTATTATATGTTGGCTAATTGAACATAATAAAAAAAGAAACTATAAAAAAGTACCAAATGAAAATATAAGAACTGGAAAATAAATATCTTTAAATAAAAATGTAATGGATGTTTTTAAAAGCACAGGGAGATAAAAGAAGAAAAAGTCAATGAACTAGAAGACAGATCAACAAAAATGATCCAAACTGAGAAATAAAGATTTAATAATACATGTGCAGAGGCTCATAGATCTTTGTAACAGAATCAAAAGATCTAATATACATATACTTGGAGTCCTAGAAGGAGGGGAGAGAGAGAGAAAATGACTCAGAAAAGTATTTGAATAAATAATGGGTGAAAAGTTCATAAATTTGGTAAAAGACATATATTTATGGACTTTAAAACCCCAATAAACACCAAGTAAGATTTATATTTTTAAAAAAGCACAACAACAAAAAAATAAAAACAGGCAAACCATAGTCAAACTGTGAAAATCAATGACAAAGAGAAAATCAACAAAACAATGCTGTGAGAAAATCAAAGATAGAAATAAATGGGGAGCTATGCCAAGTTAATGGGTTGGAAGACTCAGCGTTGTTAAGATGTTAATCACCAAACTGATCTATGGATTCAGCACAATCCTAATCCTAATCCTATGATGCTTTTTAGTCAAAATTGACAAACTGATACTAAAATTTCTGTAGAAATGCACAGAACTTAGAATATTCAAAGCACTCTTGAAAAAAGAAGGAAAAGTTACTTCACCACTTGACTTCAAGACTTACCCTAAACAAAACAGTGTGGGTATTGACACAAGGATCAACAGAATGGTAGGACAGAATAAAGAGCCCAGACAGATATAGACCCACACTTACATATTTATTTCATTTTTGACAAAGTTTTCAGAGCAACTCGATTGGGAAAGGAAAGGCTTTCAACAAACGGTGTTGAAATAACTCCATATGCACATGGAAACAAATCAACCTTGCCTGAATTCATACCACCCACAAAAATCAAATTATTATGGACTGTGGGCCTAAATATAAGGGCTAAAACTATAAAATTTCTAGAAGAAAACATAGAAGAATATCTTCATGCCTTGGGGGAAGACCAAAACCAAAAAAGAAAAAATAAATAAACTTAGTCAAAATGGAATCCCTGTTCATCAGAAGAAACATCATTAAGAGAATGTCTTGCCTATGCAGGCCAGAGGGCAGGAGAAAATATTTGAGAAATGTCTCTGACAAAAAATTGGTATCCTGGATATATTAAAAACTCCTAAACCTCCATACTAAAATGACCAACAACTCAATTTATAAAACTGGCTACAAGATTTGAACAGAGAGTTCACAAAAGTTGGTAAAAGAATGGCCCATAAGCACATAAAAAAAAAGAAAAAACATTTAACAGCTTTAGTCATCAAGGAGATAGAAGTTAGAACCACAGTGAGGTAACACACCACATTCACCAGCATGGCTTAAGTTACGTTGACAACACCAAATGTTGTCAGAACATTTGGTGAAGCAACTAAAACTCTTATACATTGTTGGCAGGAGAGGAAAATGGTATGAGAACATTGGAAAAGATGTAAATTCTTATAAATTATATAGTTTCTTATAAATTAAATACACACCTCCTCTAAGACACCCATTCCACTCCTAGATATTTACTCAAGGGTTCTGAAAACACATGTCCGTCCACTAAGGGATGTGTCTGAAAAGGTTCATATTAGCTTTATTCATCATAGACTGGAAGATCAGGTGTCCATCAATAGAAGACTGGATAAACAAACTGTGGCATATTCATACAGGAAAAAACTACTCATCAATGAAAAGAAACCAACTACTGATCTAAACGACAACATGGATGTGTGAATCCTAAAAACCTCCTGTGGAACAAAAGTTTCCACAAAGGAATACAAATTTTATGATTCTATTTATATGAAGTACCAGAATAAGCAAAACTGATTTATGGTGAAAAAATCAGATTCATTCCCTCTAGGAATGTTGAACCAGGAGTTTGCTGGGAAGGGATATGGGGAAACTTTCTAGGGTGATGATTATGTTCTGTACCTTGATAGGGGTTTGCATTGCACAGGTGTATGTATTTATAGGAACTCATCAAATGGTATGCTGGTGATTTTTTCATTTCATTGTATGTGAATTTTATCTGAAAAGAAATTGTAAGCGAATATTGGAATTGTAAAGAAATAGTGAAATTTTGTTAATAATATTGAAGTATTTGGAGGGCATGTATCAATATCTACAACTTACTTGAGAATGCCATACAAATTTTATGAGTTGCTGGATGGATAGAGAATCAATATATGATAAAGCAAATATAGGAAAATGTCAACTGAAGAAACTATGTTTGGAAATTTTATGATAGAATGTTGAGAACAAAAGACAATTGAGGCTAATTGGCAGATCACCTGTAAGATGGAGTCCTGGCCCTGGAAAAAGACTCTAGAATCTAGCTGATGTACAGGGGAACAGACAAAAGAGGCTACTGGGTCCAGAAGTTGGCTTTCTTTGCTCTATTCTAACTTTGGCAATGAACCTAGGGGCTGAGGCATTTCTTAAGACCCACTGGCTCATGCTCTCTGCAGTTGGTGACTTTAAGAGTTCCAGAAATCTGGAACAGAGAGGGGCTGTCTGATACCATTTACTCAATCTACTGAATACCTACTGTGTGCTATTCTGTGTGCTAGGCTTGGAGGATACTATGATGAACTGAATAAAAACGGCTCCTGCCCCTTTTTGATCTTACCATTGATAAAATCTGCTCTTCTATTCTGTCGTTATTGACGCTCTGACTAGAAGACTTGCAAAGTCCTTTTACAAGCTTTGTTGACATTTCTCCAATCTCTGAGTTCAAAAACCCCTTGCTAATATTGGACCTGAATACCTCTATCTAAACAGAAAGAGATTTTTTTCTTGTTTTACCCTCCTGGGAGTGGAACTTAACACAAGAAGATCCCCAAAGCCTCAGAATAGCTCAGCAAGATATTGGACACATGCCTAGTGACCCAAAGTCACCTTACGCTCCTCTGAAGTAGAGGCGTGAGAGAGAAAGTGTAGTAGGCTGCTAAGCTCGACCCTCTGCCCCACTTCCAACACAGGTCACACCCATTGCCATTCCTTGCCCTGGCATCACAGCCAGAAATCCTGCCCAAAGTTTAGCTTGGGGACATGGCATCAGGAGAGGTGGCTGGCCTACTCGGTAGCTGGACGTGACCTTGAATCCCACATTACAAATCCAATTGCTCCAGCCTCACGTTTAGCATACAAAAGAGAAAATTCCTTCCTTAAACGTCTGTTTTCCCCAACATTCTTGGTGGAATGTGGGCATATTTTGAGCTGACTATTTATGTTACAATTGCCCCGGAATTGGTTGAGCGGTACCATACTCAATAAAAAGTCAATAGAAACTGGTTGCCTTCTTTAGAAAGGCTGCCACGCTTTCTTTCCATACAGTGACTCATCCCTCTGCTTAACTGCATACTTTCCCCTCTGCAACGTCCAGACTGTCACTTCTTTGTCACCTTTATGTGCTTACAAATCCACCAGCTCTGAAAACCTCTTAGCAAGGTCATCGTCCCAGCTGCTCACCACCCCTCCTCCCGGCTGAAATCTCTTTGTTTCTTCCCTGTCCTTTGTCTCTTCTCCTTCCCCAAGAATTTTGACTCTCAGAAGTTTAAATATCTGTTTTCCTTCCCTAGAATGCTATTTTTCAGACAGCTGGAGTCTCGGGAGGTAATGATATGACTCGGGGAAAATAAGTGCTTGTCTCCCTATCTCTGGTGCCAGTTAAGGTGATTGGTGTTCAGGACCTTCGGAAGCTCTTTGAAAACGACAGGGCTGGCCGGATTCCAGCAATTTACCTTCTGAAGGCTGAGCATGTCTGGGCAGTGGCTGCATAATTTGGATGGAGTCATCCCTGATGAGACAGAGTTGGCTCAGCCAGGGAGCACTCGTTGCTCTTTTAAACTCCACGGCACCAGGGGATGAAGTCACCTTTCTTCTTTTAAAACCAACAGATTGGCCCCGTAAGTCCCTGCCACTTCTGTTAGAACTTGGTGTTTTTTTCTCCTGCTGGTCCCCAGGACCTTCTCTCAGGTAAGGAAGCTCTGATTTTGTGGGTTTCCATGCAGGAAAGCTTGATTTGAGGGGGACCTTGGGGGGGCACCTCTGGGTAGAGAGGGAGTCAGGGCAAGGGACACAGCGGGTGAGGAGGAGGGCTGGGTCCCGGCCAGCCCAGTGTCCACCTGGGGGGCTGGTAGGCTCTGAGCTGGGCGAGCAGAACCCCACTCAGCTCCGAGCTGCAGTAGCAGGTTCTCACGGTGGGCATGGAAATCGAATCCGGGGTTGGTTTCGGGTTCCTGTTGCATAACCAGCACGTTGGTGAAGCAGCAACGGGTGGTCTCCTCTGGGTGGGGGCCGGCCTGGCTGCTTTGCCATCCTGACAACTGGCTTTGTGTTTGGGGTAGAACCCTCCTAGGGTCCCGTGATAAAAGCTGATGTGCCGGAAAGCGGCAGCTGTCTGGAGAGCCTTCAGTTGCCAGAGTACAGCAGGAGACGAAGGGGCCCGGCTCCCTGTTGTAACAGGCAGGGACCTTGTGTAAACAACGGCTGCGCTGCGGTGGGGGGCAGAACTATCCGAACACGTCTCAGCGCCTGGCCAGACGAGGTTGCAGGGACGGAGCATGAGCATTGGGGTGTGCATGTGCAGGTAGACCTGTGGTCCTAGGGACTTCTTCGAAGCTCCCTGCAACACTTTCGATGAGTGATAGGAGGCTCTGTCACTGATTGAATCATACAGCTCTTATTAGCTCTGGAAGTCTCAATAAACACATCTTGGTTATGATGGAGGCACCTGCAGGGTGATAGATGGCTTTTGGAGAGAGGGTTGAACCACTATGGAGGGAAGACATTGAGAATTACGGAGCCCCTTTATTCCTTGACACGGAACCCTGCCACACAGGGTATTTTGTGCGTTCGTCCATAACCTTTGAAGGGAGCAAAGAATCTCATTTCAATAAGAGATGCTTGTTTTGTTTTAAATACAATTGCCTACTGGCTTGCATGTTCACCTCCAACTTGGCATGTCTAGAATTATCCTTACCTGAAATCTGCTCCCCTAGCTCAGCAAAAAGCACCTGGTTTTCCATGACAGATTTCTGAACTTCATCTTTGACCCCTCCTTCATCCTCGCATGCCCACATCTAGTTTGCCAACACATCCGGCAGATTCTGCTTCCATGCTACCTCTCAGAGCCATCCATTCTTCCACCTCCATGGCTATTTTCCTCGTTTAAGCCAGGATCACCTCCTTCGGGGAATATGGAAGCCTCCCATCCAGGCTTTCCCTCTCTCCTCACCTTTCCAGTGCAGCCAGCATGATTCTGCTGTAGTCGATCAGCACCCGCACAATCCAATCCATCACTAATCTGGTGATTCGGCCTCCTTACTATCCCTCGAAAATGTTCACATCTCTTCCTCTAACCACCACTACCTTGGTCCAACCCCCCAACACCCTTTCCCTGAGTTATTATGGTAGCTTCTTAGCTGACCTCCCTGCTACCAGGCTCACTCCGGCCCAGTAGAAGACACTTTAAACTTCTTATGTTTCCAAGCTTTTAAAGGACATGTTGTACAAGAGCAGAACTTGAAACACTTATTCCTCTATCTGGGGTTTAGAAGTATCAGCATTTTTGTGACTTTTGTAGATACTTCAAGGAGGGAGGCAGAGGGAATGGGGGAAGTTGAGGGATGTATATCGCAGTGGGAAGAGGGCCCGAGGAATACGTCAAGCTCACGCCTTGGAACTATGCAGGTCTACAGTTGAATCCCAGCTCCTCTTCTTAATGTGGCCTTGACCAAATAGGTAAGGCTTCTTGAGACTCATTTTCCTCACCTGTAAAATGGAATGGAGGTAATAATCCAGCGTCGCTAGGTGAACGGAACAGTTAAATGGGAAGGCTGTGAAACACAGCAGACTCTGAAACCTAGCAATTAAGAATTTTTAGTTCTTTCCTTCTTTCCGTTCCTTTTAAGGCTTATAATCTCTAACTATCATGTATCTTGGAAGTATCCGTGTGTGTGTGTGTCTATAATTGTCCACTTTGGGCACAGTAGAAAGAAGGAATGGCAAAGAAATACACGAGAACTCTCTTAAAAGAATTTGCAGTTTACTTAGGGAGGCAAAGCAAACCTCAGTAGCATAAAAACCTCTATAAAACAAGCATTCTGCAGTTGTCATGTGTCTAGTACTAGTTGAGCACATAGCAGCGAGGGCTTGTGCAAACAGGTTTGTGAATACCTGTAGACAGAGTGTAAGTAGATCTGTATCTAGAAAATTTCCAATTTCGGTTTGTTGGGGACTTCAGAATCATCGGCCTCTCTGCTGTTGAAGCAAAACTTCCTGGAAGACTTTGTCCTTTTAGGGTGACTTAAGGACATGCAGATTAAGTGCCATGCAGTGTGTAAGTGACTTTACTCATTCATCTATTCATTGAGCCTTTATTGAACACCAACTCTGTGCCTGGTCCTACGCTGTACAATTGCTTTGCAACCCTTCCATGGGACATGGAGGGTAATTCTCCTGTTGAATCACAGCTAGCCTCTTGGAATTGTTAGGCGAATAAAATAAGAAGAAAGTGACATTGGGGATATCCATGGCTAGGTTCTAAGAAGCTTTGCAGCTTCCTGCTGGGGGTTCTTGGCTTACTCACTCTGGGGGAAGCCAACATTGTGTAAAGTCACGTGCTGGCCACCTGGCTCCTGGGGGGTGGGGGTGGGGGGATGTCTGGTATGTAGCATTTGGCAGTTTTCATGGAATAAGTACTCCCACCATGGCTGATTTCAGGCTACCAAAGTGATAGCACTGAATGCAGGGTTGGAAAGAAAGACACAGAATTGGCTCTTACAAGTGGGTACGAGCCAGCCCCAGTGATTGCCTGCTAATTCCTCGGAGACTACCATGCTTCGAGAAAGCCAGCTAGGTGGATAGGCTACACGGAGAGAAGGCCAACCAGCCCCAGATTTTCCAGCCATTTGAATTGAGGCTCCAGGAATGAAGCCTTTCAGATGAGTCCAGACCTGGCCACTAGCAAAGTGCAGCTTAGGAAGGACCCTGACTGGGAACTGCTCAGCTCAGCTCGTCAAACCACAGAACCTGAAGAAATACAAATTTATATCATCTAAGTTCAGAGGTGGTTGTCTCGCAGCAAAAGGTAACTGGAACAAGCTGGCGATCTTGCTTCTGCAGAAGCCAGCCTGGATGGAGCCCCCAAGGGAGTGTGGAGGAGTAGAGGGGTCTATCCAGACAATTCTTTGCACATAGTCTCTGGCCTCAGATCACAAAGGAGAAAATGTCTTAGTTAAAGGCCTGAGGAAGAGACTCTACTTTACCAACTAGATGTACTGTTGTAACTAAATCAGTGAAAAACAATTCTCTTAGACACACACACACACACACACACGGGCATGTGCCCACACACACTTCTCTCACCTTCTCCTTCCATCACTGTCCAAAGCTCTGCTGGAAGATCACTACCTGCTCTTTGGGCTCCGCTTCATCCTCCGCGTGGGCTCTGGGAGTGCGGGGAAGGGGACAGAAGAGAACAATAAGAAGTCAAGGAAATGCCCAATCCTGATGTCTGGTGGAAAGCCACTGAGACCCCTAGAAAAGACCAGCAAAAAGGAATTAAAACAGGAAGCTTGGGGAAGACACATGGATGAGTGGTTAAAGCATGGATTTTGATATCAGATGACCTGGATTCCAATCTGGATTCTGACATTTTCTAGTTGGCTGACCTCGGAAAGCATCTTGACACTCTGTTCTCAGTTTCTCCATCTAAAACCTGGATAATAATACCATCTCACAAAGTTCTCATGAAGATTAAATGCGATGATGTCTACAGAATGCTTAGCGCGGTACCTAACGGTGTGCTGAGTTAGCAGCAGGTGACAAGTCCCACAAGCCTTGGTAAGCCCCGAGCGTCGGTCTGTCAGTCGCACAACAGGCGCCCAGGGTAAGTATTCAGTAAATACTCAAATCAGACTGAGAATCTATATTTGGAATATTCTACCACCATTCTTCTTGTTTTTTTAAAAAAGATTTTATTTATCTATTTGAGAGAGAGAGAAAGAAAGAGAGAGAACAAGTAGGGGGAGGGGCAGAGCGAGAAGCAGACTCCCCACTGAGCAGGGAGCTTGACATGGGACTCTATCCCAGGACCCTGAGATCATGACCTGACCCCAAGGCAAGACACTTAACCGACTGAGCCACCCAGGCGCCCCGACCATTTTATCCTTATCGTCCCCCAGATAAACTTCCAAGGACTTAAAAAGCATAAGTATGCATTTTTTTCTCCTTTAAGTGTGCAGTATGAACCAAGACCACATTTTCTCATTTCTTGTGAGTCCTCTTCATACCTTCTACTGTGTAATAGGTAGTTGAGTTGTTCAGTGCTCACAGTGTTCAATACATTTTAACTATTATCATTTTTAAAATTCTATTTAAGGACAAATTTAAGTTGGATGACTTATGCTGGGATCCTGAACCGAGCATGCTCCAGAAATCTTAAGGTTACCCATTTATAGATGCCACAACTTTGGTAGGACAGTCAGGGTGAGGGATAACATGATTCTTGAGAGCAAAATCTGAGTGTTAGGTTCTCTTTTTTTATTTATACTTTGTGAATAAGAGTTACTAAAACTTTAACCTAATGCACTGACATTAGGCAGACTTGTCTCATGAAATTTATGGTTGTCCAGTCATGTGGATTTTTTAAACAAAGAATAATGCAAACATTCTGTTAAAGAATAGCTGAATTGTGTGTTTTTTAAAAACTTGGATTATGAAATATTTATTGATTTGTGAGTGTGTGCCTGTTTGGCCCAGCCCGCCACCCCGCCCATCC